TTATCAGAGGAACGTTGAATTTAATATACGAGTATTTAGCGGAGGCCTCTAACCATAATTTTAAACATTATATCTTTAAGTCCAATGAAAGGATATATCGATACAACTTTTTAAAAACTAGAAAATCTATACACATGTAATGAAATTGTAGTATTTGTAATTAAAAAGAAAAATTCTAGATTTCGGCAAGATGATGTATTTGCGTTACTGATAACAAAATCCCATTTATTTTTTTTTTGTCTGTCTGTTCGCAAGCCGCATTTGTTTCGGGTAATTTCCGAAACGGCTGGGCCGATTTCGCCGGGACTTTCACTGGAAGGTAGCTGACATAAAAAGGGATATTATAGACTACTTTATTTTTAATTCCGCGCTGTCAAAATGACGTAACTGGTGGTCCAAATTTGCGCTAACGAAGGTTGCAGGCCACAACTCGTATTGTAGTAAAATGTTTCATATGTAACGATCTTACATAATAATAAAGTATAGACTCTAGATGGGGATCGTTATTAAAAAGTATTAGACTAACATTATTAAACAATTTTTAGTTATAATTCTTATGAAATTGTTGATATATCCTTTTAGAGAATTTCTCTTGTATTAATTTAATGAGAAAATTCTTTGAAAATGCCTCAATTTCAATTTTCTGTGAGCACTCTATCGTGTAAAATGTCGCTGAAAAAATTCTTACATTCTTTTGTTTTAAAGGGATAAGACCGGAGAGGGAACAGCTTCCTTTCCAAGGGTGAGGTATTCGTGCCTTCAGTAAAATATCAATTGCTATCAAGTATGTACAAACAACTTAATTTAGGGTATGTTGGAGTACTTAGGGGATGTAATATAAGTATTCGTATGGATGATGGATAATAAGAAAACTGTTTTATACTATGTAGTTACAATCTCGTTTAAGAACTATTTTTAAAACCACGTGCTTTGTAGCACATAAGCGCTTTCCCTATTCATTTGACTTATTTAGATTTTAAACAAATAAATTAACTTCTTCGTATTTTCAATAACATTAACTAAATTACCTTTTTACGATTTGACAATATTTATACAAGAAATGTCTAAACAGAGCAAGTATGTGAATGGAGACAGTGAATTCACGAAGTAGACGGGGTCATTGAACTGCGTGCGGCGCGACGTCGCTACAGAATGGAGGGAATTAAGTAAGTGCCTCTTGCACTCTGATTTTTTTGCTGGGAAGTTTTTACGTATACGAAATTGTACAATATAAAAAAATGTAATTCCATAAATGTAGTTACTAAAGTTAACATTACTTTAACGTAAAATTTAACTGTTATGTTTAAACAAAGAGAGACACAAAATGTTTACTGCAACTGCCTTTATACACTCATCGACACATGCAAAAAGCAATTTTTAAAAATGGAATCAAATCTTTTTTTCTCTTTTAAATGACTGCACATAAATCGTGATTCTAATCGAGACAAAAGCAAATTTTTTTTCTTAATTAAAAGTAACTATTAATCTAAAAAAAGGTAATTTTTATACTTTACTTAAAATTCGCTAAAAGGTTGTACTCGTAGTTTGCTAAGCAATGTATTTTAAAAATAACTTAATTGAGAGTAAAAAAACAATCAATTTAACTATTGATGTTCACAAAATTACCTGGCGATTAATTTTACTTAAAATAATAGTTTTCGACAGCGACTCCGACTGCGGGAAATTAAATAAAAAACTTGATGAGCCTGCTTGTTCCTCCAAACAATGCTCTACATCTATGCCAAGTTTCATAGAGATCCGTTCAACTGTTTAGGTTACAAACAAACGAACATCAATCCATCTAAATTAAGTAAGGTATTTACATTATTATTTTTCATTTATATCATACTAGCTTTCGCCCGCGACTCCGTCCGCGTGGATTTAAAAAAAAGAAAAGTAAGTAGCCTATGTGTTCTTCCAGACTATCCTCTACATCCGTACCAAGTTTCATCGAAATCCGTTCATCCGTTTAGGCTACAAACTCTAACAAACATCCATCCATCTAAACTTTCGCATTTATAATATTAGTATGATTCTTATTGTTTATTAATATAGTAACCTTATAATGACAACCTTCTCTGTCTTACAATGTTGTCTCATTTTTTTATTTATTTAATTATTCTACTTAGAATCTAGACATTTGTAATTGAACAAAGGATTCTACGTTACGTCTCTTTTCTCCTGCTCTTTGTTTAAGGACAAAAGATAGTTTTATGGCATTTTTTTTCTTGTAATTAGCAAAGATACCGAGAGATCGCTGTAACAATGTCCGCCATGGATTATGAAGCAACCGCTCTTGCTGTAACCATTCATTTTACTGGAGCAGTGATGCATAACCATTTCTTTGTTTTGTTTAAAAAATTATATTTTATTTGTTAAATTCGCAAAAAATTGTATACTAAAATTGAATTATCATTTAGACTTATATTTTTTGATTTCAGTTATTTTATAATAATAGTTAGCTTTCGCCAGCGGTTCTGTCCGCGTGGAATTATAGAAAAACAACGTCTATGCCAACTTTTTAAATGTTCGTTTAGCCGTTTAGACTACATTTCTAAGAGTCATTTATCATTATAAACTTTCGCATTTATTACAATATAGTAAGATTTGGAAATAAAACCAATCTTATATTGCATGTCTACGAACGTAGCGTAGAGCATTGTACAGATTGCTACGAGTTCTACGAAAATTGTCTGTCGTAACTCTTAATGAAATAAATCGATGAAATTGTTCTCAAAATCACTATTTCAAACGTGTTATTAGTAATATGTAAGTTAAAAAATAAAATTCAAACGGCGTCATAATTAATTCGAATATAAAAATAAATTGCAAAAGTTGGGTACTTCAGAAAAAGCGAGTATGAATTCAGCCTCTCCATCACCACTGAGGGCAATTAACAAGTTCCTCTACCGAACGAAATTTATATCGTTTAATTAAATCTAGTACCGACAGACAAGTACCTTATAAATTTCACTCAAATATACCGCAGTCTGCAAAAAATCAGGAGAGCGTTGATTACAGCTAGGCTTTTAGACAACATTATTAATTACCGTCGAAACAAATGAAGACGTTTTCCTGATTTTAAATGTAAAAATAACGTAACATTTCAAAAGTAAAACAATTTTACGAAATAAAAGTCAATTATAACGAATTGCTATTAAATCTTTGAAGGCGCTGAATTGTCTGTCTAACTTTTTTTTTATAATATAATATAAGGTGGCAAACGAGCTAGGGGCCACCTGAATACACCGAAAGGGAAAGCGACCGCTGCCCATAAACATCCGCAATTGCAGATGCATTGCCTACCCTTAACGGAGGAGGAGACGCACATGAAGAGGGCTTTTTCCCTTCCTATGCGTCTCCTCCACCGTCAAATCCACTTTTCCTTCCCATCCCTTCCTCTTAAGAAAAGGGTGGAAAGGGAAAGGGACTAAAATTAGGCCTCCGGCACCACACTCATCAGACGAAACGCGGAATTGCTTCCACTTCACGCCTGTTTTCTGTATAGTCGTGGTATTACACCGGGCGAGCCGGCCCTACAGTGCGAAGATGTAAAAGCGGGCTCTACCACTGTTAAATAATTAACTAGTAATGATGTAAATATTTATTATTAATAATTGTGACTAAAGTCAAAAATGTGTGATAATCGAGTACATACTTAAGTCTTGTATTGTGTTGATAACAAATTACACAGAATTTATTCATAAGTAATGAATTTTAATGTTAAATGTGACGTCATCTCAAAATGTTCGCGGTATCTCCGCACGGTGTGTGTTATTTTAATTGTAGATAAGATCAAAACCCACATACTTATCATCGGCTATGGGGTAGGCAGAGACCTAAAAACCGGGCCATTTCCCTGGTTTTTATAGTACAATCAGGTATTTTTAATATTTAAAAAAACAACTAAAGCAAAAATACAGTCCCAACTTCACCATTAGAGCGGGCGCACACCTTTGACTAAACTATCGCACAACAGTTGTGTGATTGTCGATTGTTTCGCAGCCAAATCAACTGTTTAGTTGTACAACTAAAAATCGAGTAGTGTGCGCATCTCCATAAGCTCATATGAATCAAAGTGAAAGTAAACAGTTGTGTGATAGATGCGATACGGAGAATAATTATTTATTATATGGCATTCACTAGTTACTCAAACCGTATAGTTACAGAACGGGAATGTACCAATTAGTCATCAAGTAGTCCACCTAGTAATCAATAGTGTTATACACACACGCTTGTGGGTCAATCAATTACAACGAAGTCCACTCCAATCACTTACCGTTTTAATATAAATAACTAAAGGGTAGTCTACACGTGACTAATTCAAAGATAATTTTGATTTTATGTTTGTTTATTATAAACTGAAAAGTATTAATTTGTATAATGTATTTACTATAATATAATATACCCTTATGTTAGCAATTAGTTTCGCTATAAAGTATCACAATGTCGTCTCTCACAATGTTTGCTCAGATCTTTAAAACTATGTGATGGATTTTAATGCATTTCAATAGAAAGAGTAACTCAAGAGGCAGGTTTTTAAACACATATAAAGTATAGTAAGTATAAAACTATACATGTTATATAGTAGAGAAATATTGACATTTTTAGAGGTTTCTAATGTAATGTAAATAAACACCTTTTGCTATCAACATTGGACTCGTGCAAGGCCGAAACGGGCCGCTAGTGGACTATATATTGTGTTTTTATTTGACTTCTTAAACTCGAGTAAAGCTGAGTTGAGTTGCTTGTATAATTAGTAACAATATATATTTACTTTTATAAGAGTTCAATGAAAACAATATAATAGTGAAAGGTTTTTTTTATTTCTCTTCTATTCACTACAATTAGACAAATGCCAATCGACAAGCTTTTATCTTAATGAAAATAATGACCATATAAGTTATTAAGAAAGTATTAATTTTCATCTCCACTATATCCTAACAGCTTAAGGATTTGCATACCATATATATTTTCATTAAACATTGTCAGATTAGACGATGCCGTCATTCTGTTCTAAGCCTTATAATCGCTTAAGAGCGTACACTTTAGATAACTTCAGTCGTTATTTATATTTCAGTCAGTCCTCTGAAAAGTATCACTGTAACCAGTTTAAAACATCAACATGTTGCGTTGTTTATTTTTAGTTTGTTTTCTATCATCCGCTATAGGGATTGTAATCCGCGATGGTAGCTGTGATTGGGAAAATATTGCATCTGTCAAATCTTTAAACATCACAGAGGTATGTCATTTTCTTTAATCAAATTTTAATAAATCGAAATTATTTTTAATTAAATTTTAATGAACTAAATTATAAAAGTTTTGTCTAACTTTTTGAAGTTCTTTCATATTACTCGTTTTAAATAAATGTAGATTACTTAGATTAAGATAAATCTAAGCTTTGAAAATCAAATTTAAGAAGTGAATCAGACAAGACTTTTTTTAAACACTTTCATGTAATCATTTCAATTCTTTAAATATCCTTTAACATAAACGTTTACAGTTACTAGGAGAATGGCATCAAATACAACACATAGAGAATCCGTTGGACACAGGAGAATGTTCTACTTTGACGTTAGCTGTTGAAAATGACAATACTACGTCATACGTGACCCTTGCACACCGAGAGGTGCATGGCACTCACGTACACGACACCAGAGGTCTTATTTTAATAGTCAATGAAACATTAGGATTGTTTAACATGGCTTATCAAAGTAAGTGATAATTAATTATCAATTATATACGCCAGTCGCGATGACGAGTTCCCTGATGTTAAAAAGAGTATCCAATAGATACTGGCAATACTTGGGTTGTTGAAACCTAGTTGACCGAAGCAATGATAATCAAAGAAGAGGTAATTTCCTTTTCTTATCATCTCTTCCTTTCTATTCATAAAATTCACTTCTATTTTCTCGTCCCATCTTTTCTCTATTGTATAAATAAAAAGAAATACTAGTGTCCGACCTCTGGTACCACTGTCTTATAAGCTGGCAGCCTTCAGTTGTCAAAGATACAGTTTATAATCATTTTTAAAACGTTTTTATTTTTACAGATTATACCTTCGATACAGTCGTGTTGGGCGTTAATCCTGCAAAGCATGTGGTGCTTTACTCATGTGCAGGAATCAACGCAACTCAATCTGCTGGTAAGTTTTATTTAAATATTGCACTATATTCGTTTTATTTAATGGTTATTTAGTGGCATCTTAGTTTAGGCATAAATTAACATGGTAAAAACCACGAAGCAAACATTATTACATTTTAATGAATCCATTAAAAACTGTTTAAAGACAACACTAACATAATGTTTCTTTTACCAGTTGTGGCTTGGGTTTATAGTAGAAGTACATCTCTGGAGCAAGCTGATAAAACAACTGTCGACGCCTTGATAAAAACAAACGAAGATCTTCAAAACGCAACATGGATTGAAATTAAACACACCAAAGAAGCTTGTAATATAAATGGAAGTTTCACCTTCGGAATATCACCAATACTTACACTCCTTGTTTTATTCATTGTTGGAAAGAACGGAATTATTTGTAACTAAATTATTGAATAAACTTTACAACTCTGATAAACATAGCTTTAAATTGAAACGTTTTCATTTTGTGTTAAAGACATAAACGTTGACAGACTCGTAAACCATTAATGTGCAATAAAAAATCTCAGGATTATTTTTTTTAATTTACTTCTCTTTCTGTTTCAACGATTTATAGATTGCTCAATGCTGTATGTGTACCTATCTTTATAACAAATCGCTTAAATAATAACATGAACAAATATCAATCGAATTAATCACATTTTAATGATTTTCAATGAATTTTAATGACATACAAATTTAAAGTCTATTTAAGATAAGTCCATCTAAAATATTCTTTAATTCTCAACGGAGAGTCTTATTGTTAACACTTGTATAATATTAAAAAAAATAGTTTTACAATGCTGCGTTTATTAGTGTCATTGTTTTTAATTGCCTTTGTGTCGGGACAAATAACGCGCAATGGAACATGTAACTTTGGTAGCATACTAGCTGTGAGAGATTTAAATGTTACTCAGGTACGTACTTAATCTTAAGTAAGATAATCGAAAAGTTAAAATCTAGACTTTTAATATTCTTGATAAAATTTAACGTGTTGAAGTTTTCTTTATGGTATAAAAACTTGATTAAATACATTATTAAACTAAGAATAAAAAGACAAAACAAATCCAGAAATTGTAAACCTTTTCAGTTATCAGGCGACTGGTATCAAATCAAACGTATACCAAATACTCAAGAATGTGGAGCTTGTTCTACAACTAGCATTAAGGCAACGCCAGATTCCTCTAACATCACAATATCTAACAAGGAAATAAGTGATAAAAAAACTAAGTACAGAAATGGAACTATTCTTTTACCATTCGTGGTAAAAAGTACTTTCCAAGGACAATTTACCATAAATTACGAAGGTAAATAAAAAAATGTTTATCAGTATTTTATATCAAACTTTATGTATAAACTAGCTGTTCCCGGGCGGCTTCATTAGCATGAAATTATGAAAATTTTATTGTATTGTTTATATTTTTTAAATTACCAATAGCAAATGTCAAAATGATATGACATGACAAACCTTAGCAATCTTGTTTCCTTAATGTTGGCAGCAACTTATGTTCTCTTTCCCACATTAGGGTTTTTATCCTTTTGGATCCTTTCCTTTTAGATAAAAGCCCTAATGTGGCAATAAATATTTTTATTTACCCCCTAAGTTTAATGGCGTTTAAATATATAGCCTAAAGCGTGACGCAAGTGTAGGTTTTTTTTATTAAAAAAATAATTATTCAAAAATATGCTGCAATTGCTGACATCTTATGCAACAAAGAAGTTCGTTTACGCTTTATTATAATAAGTATAGATAAAAATTCTGTTTCAGATATAATCTACAATTCAATTTTATTGGCAACGAATTATACCGACTACGCCGTGATTTATAGTTGCAAAAATATTAATGAGTTTTCGAAAAATAGTAAGTTTCTGTATATATTAATTATTTATTTTTTTTAATTTAACTTCAATGTCAAAATCTAGAAAAAAAACCGTTAATTTTAGTTCATTAAAGTCTGATTAAAATCAACTGAAAATTACATCGCAAAAACAAAGACTTTATTTGAATTTTAATGGATGCGTTCTTAACTTTTATTATATTTGCAGTATGGGCCTGGGTGCTAAGTAGGAATTCGACATTAAGTAAAAATGAAGAGAAGGTTATAGAATCTATTATCAACGGAAATGAAGACCTCAAGAACGCCGCATGGACAATTCCAGAACATTCTAAGAAAGCTTGTGATCCGAACTCAAGCGTAACATTCATATTGTCTCCTATATTAATTTTATTGGTAGTAGCTGTTACTAGCAAAGATATTTTTTAATTATTCTTAATTTTTAGCTTTTAACAAATCAAAGGTAAAGTAAAATAAATATTTGGATAATTTTTTTTTACCAAACGTTTGCATGTTTATTTGTTCCAACTTCAAAATAAATAAGGTTTTGATTTTTGTTTATTTTGTTATACATTATCCTAACCCAATAACAATCTAAAAATAACTTTATTCAGTAATGGAATATTACGATTATAAAATGCACTTTCTGTATGATGAAATACAACACTTGTACTTTCCCGCAAGGACAAGTGCGTACTCAACAAACAATAGATACACTGAACTAATACACACTTGAAAGATAACCACTAGATAACAAACTATGACTAACACTGACTAAACCATCATAAAACAGGCACACCACTATTGTGAATGACTAAATAATTTATGACAAGAAACCTCAAGGATTTCAAGCCAGCCGATGATCTAAGTTATGTTTTGTCCTACTAGCTAAAATTAACATGGCGTTCGAAGTAATTTTTGTATCAAATTTACATTTTACTTTTCACTATAGGGAGAGCATCTCACCTACTTCTACCGCTCATGGTTATGTACTTTAAATAAAACACATACAGACAAATCTATTTGGGAATTCCCTAAATAATAATATCTGGCTATCGCCCATAATTCTGTCGTCGTGGAATTACAAAAACAAAACAAAAGTAGCCTATGTGTTCTTCTAGACTGTTTTACATTTATGCCACAATAAATCGATATCTGTTCAGCCGTTTAGGCGGTAAATCAAACAACCATTCATTCCAACTTTCGTAAATAATATTTGTACAAAGACAATGAAAAAAGTAACTTTAGTATTTGGTCTACCTGTTCATAGTAAAAGGACCTGTTGTTCATTAAATCTATGAAATGTTATTTTCCATTTCCCCGGTGAAAATTCGAGAATGTCCCGAGGAGGTTTACTGAGGACAAATCCTAGGTTTAGTCTTGACAGCGACCATTCGCATACTGCAGTCTTTACTCTGTGTGACAAGTAAAAAGATATAGCGTATATTGATTTGTACACCGTAGCAGAAAAAAGTGTACTGGGAAATATTATTTGAACAGATAATAGACACCTGGTGCTTCTGAACTACCAAGAAAACATATGATGTGATTATTTCGAGTAAAAACACAGTTACTGGCTATTTTAAAATTCAGACTAAAAGTAATTTGCGAAGAAGTTAAGTTAAAAAATGGCATATTAATTTTGCATCTTTTACTATTTTTTGTTATAAAATTCTATTAAAAATCAACAGATATTAGATGTAAGTCGAAATAATGTAGTAAGTTACAGAAGTTTGTGACTTGTACCACATTTTACGCAATGGCGATGAAAAGTAAGGAAAGCCGCATATAAGCTACATGGAGACGAAATGAGCGTGCGACGCGAGGCCCCACTATTGAACTCTGAGGCACGGAGAGTTAGCAAAAAAATTAACCTAATAAATTGTAATATTTTATTTTGCTTTTGCAGAAAAAATGACTTAAACATACAGACAAAATGCTATTACATTTCTTAATGTTTACAAGAAAAAAGTATGTACCTCCAATATTTTAGATCCTAAAAAAAGTAAACCTCGGGCTTTTTGTTATATTTACTTTGTATCTGTCATAAATAATACATCTCTATATGTTTAGACTTTTTTTAATGTATTTACAAAATTTATTTCAACATTTAAACTGATTAATTAAAATAAGTTAGTTTTAAGGTTTTAACACCATTAATTAAAAGAAGTTGGTCGTATTTTGCTGTCTGTACATTTCAAGTTCATTAACCTGTCGATGACGTCAGTGTCATTAGAGTGGAGTGTTGCACTATGTCGCCTATTGTACAGCACTCGTTTCATGCCCTTTTATACAATATGCTCCAAGTACGTATTACTCTTTAAAATAATCTTTTATGTTTTTGTAGGTTTAATATTTCTAGTGATAGTGGTAATACCTTCCGGTAGAGGTAAACCTGGAGAGAGATGGATGGATTGCGTGAAAGGTGACATGATCAAGAAGGGAGTGACTGAGATGACGTATGATAGAGTTTTGTGGACGACAAAACCTGTTGCGTCACTACAGGATTCTGTATTCTAAAATCTTTAAGTTTTCTTTTGACATTACAAACAGATAGATTTAGTCAACATTCTGTTTTCTCACACATCGTGTGTGATTTTATTTAACTGTTGAAAAATGCAATACAGAAGCTAAAATCAATTTTGTTATATGTTACAGTCACGCAAAAAACACTTGGACGGAGTACGGGTTTTAGTTGGTTTTAGTTCAGAACCAAACAGAGGGCAAAACAAGTTGCCAGAACCGAGCGCAGTCAGCTCGTCGAGCCGGATAATTGTCGCAACGAGTGTCCGCCACAGAACTGTGCCAAAATTCAAATACGATTCACTCTGGTAATATTTTGCAAAAAATATTTCAAATGTAAATTTTACCCAAAGATATTTAAAAAAATATACAGACGAGGCATAGTGAATAAAATTTTTTCACCGGTCCTTGCTCTGAACAAAAGTTCTCAAGTTTAGTATTTTCATTATTGACATGTATCAAAACATTTTACAAAATTATAAAAAGCTCCATCTTTTGTTACAACAAAAAACTAATCAAATAAAAAAAGTGTTACGAAATGAAATATAAACGTTTACATATTATTTGAGGCAATTAATTCAAATACAATTAATTACATTAAAATAAGGTTTTGACTCAAAACTTTTGATACTAACAAGAGATAGCGTTAGTGAGATTATATGAAAAATATTTCAAGTAAGCGTCGACTATGTCCACTTACATTTTTGAATCTCTATGATTTTACCTCATGCAAGTTTCCGACACAGCTAACTGGTATACATTTAGCCAGACATTTAGACAATGCTAGTTTTGCATTCTCTTAGTGGAGATTTCTCAACTTCTATACTGATATTACGAGAGGAAAGAATTGTGTTTTTGTATTTATGTGTGTAAATAACTCAAAAACTACTGGAGTCATTACAAACATTCTTTCACCATTAAAAAGTAACGTTATCTCTTAGTAACATAGACCATATATTTTACTGTTTTTTTATTCCACGTCGATGAAGCCGCAAGCAACAATACTAAATATGCACAAACTACTCTGAATATGGCGTAAATATTATTATATAGGGTTTTCGTCCTCCAAATAACTCTATCATCCGTCATCCCAGTCATTACCTGGCCTAAATATGTATTGTTATTTAAAATATTTACAAGAAACATAGCAGAAAATTGATTTCGTTAACAAAATAAATTTAATACAACGGACTTTGTGTTTGTAAACGAATTTGTGAATCAAATAGTTTGGCAGCTGTCCGACAACGGACTAACTTAATTTGTCCTCTATCAGCTACAGCAATGCAGGTGGTTACTTCAATGCGACAAGCTTTAGGTATAAACAATTTAAATCTGTACTAGTTAAAATAATAAAGCGTAAACACATAATACTTCGTGGCGTAGGAAGTCAGCAAGCACAGCATATTTTTGAATAATACTTTCTTTAATAAAAATCCCTTCACGACACGCTTTAAGCAATACATTTTCACTCTACCATATTAAACTGGTAAATAAAATATAAATATGAGGTAAATAAATTGAAAAAAAAACCTTCATGTGGGAAAGGGACCATAAACTACAAACTGCCAACATCAAGGAAGCAAGGTTGCTATGGTTGTCATTTGTGCATTTGAATTTTGACATTTGTAATAGAAAATTTCGCAATTGTAAAAATACTTTTATGCGAATAAAGCCGCACGGAAGGGCTAGTTACATTGTAAAAGAGACTATCTAATATTCTAGTAGGTGTTTCCGTGCAGCCTCTAAAAAACTGTCAAATGCTTAAACGACGCAGGCCTTTACCCTTGACTAACAATTATTACAGCAATTTTGCTCATATATTGCTACTGGTTTATAGCTTTTCTCTCTTTTTGCCGTGATGGAAATATCCTGAAAATATGTAGCCTAAGCGAGTCGTAAGGGTAAGGCTTTTTGTAAAGAATGATTTATTCAAAAAAGGCTTGTGATTGCTGACAGCATTTATGACAAAGCGCACACATTTGACTAAACTATCGCACAACTGTTTTGCGATTGTCGATTGCCTCGCAGCGAATTCAACTGTTTAGTTGCACAACTAAAAATCGAGTAATGTGTACCTCCATATAAGCTTATAGGAATTAAAGCGAAATTAAACATTTGTGCAAAAGTTTTGTTAAAGTGTGCGCGCGCTCTTATTATTCAGTAAAGTATAGTTAGACGTTATTTGCAAACGTAATTGCAGATAATGGACAGGAGTCCACCTATAGAACCCTTCTTTAACTTCTGTTAAAAAAAAAGAAACGATAAATCATTTGCATATGAAATAAATAAATATTGAACAAAGGTAAATAAAACATGGAACTGTGCAATATATTTCGACGTATAATTGTTTTGAAAGGAAATTATTTATAACGAAAGCGGATATTCTGTGTATTATAATACAGTGTTACACACCACCGGTTCAATTTCACGAGAGAATGAGTTTTGCTTGCTAAATAATTATACTTCACATCCAATTTTCGGTCTCAACTAAATCCATTTGATATAATTATGTTTTCTTCTCGTTGTGGTGATTATCCATTAGATCCCTATTCTCTATTACATTTGTAAAATTGTGTTGAAACTCTACATTATGTGTCTTACTACTATGTTTTAGGGCCTGTCCCACAATTTTTGTAAATTGTCAAACAATGCAACATTTAAAATATGTGATGGTAGTATCGAATTTTGGTACTCTATCAGACGGTGACGTCACTTTTAAGCTATCTTAGCAAGTGGTGGGACAGACCCTTAGTGTTTTAATTTGTCTTTAAAATAAAAGTCCGTCTCCACTGGCATGTGTTATACTGATTATAAAGGGAAAATATGTTCTTGTACATTTGTCTAATTTCAATTCGATTCCAATCGATTTGTTGATGCATTTGCTTTTGAATCTATTTTACAAACTTGTACCGCGATTTTGCAACCTATAGTAAATTCTGAAAAAAGAAACAAGTAACTAGTTATATTTAAAGGAAACAATCATCTATACTACAATAATAAAGCGTAAACACACACATCTTTGTTGCTTTAAATGAAAAATAATATGCTGTAATTGCTGAAATTACAGCATATTATTTTTCATAATAATTATTTTTTAACAAAACGCCCTACACTTACGTCACGCTTTAGGCTATATATTTTCACGCCGTTAAACTTAGGGGGCAAATATTTTGGATAAAAACCCTAATGTAGGAAAGAGATCATATGTTGCTGCCAACATCAAGGAAGCAAAGTTGTCATGGTTTATCATCGTCATGTTATTTTAACATTTGCAATTGGTAATTTGACACATGTAAACAATAAAATAAAACTTTCATAATTTTATGCGGATGAAGTCGCACGGGAACAGTTAGTTTATTATATTAACGCAATTAAATTTTCATATAAACATACCGTTCTATAAGCATGATAGAAATACCGGAAACATATCCGATGGCCAGCAGTATAAAGGCCGGGGCCGCGCCGCCCAACGCCAGCGCTCGCGGTACGCTACCCTCACAAGAAACGTCGGGTGACCGTGTACGATATTGAATACAGGACAATATACCACGCTCGCGTAGACGCAGCAAACTGGAACAATCATACTAATACTATAAATGTAAAAGTTTAGATGGATGGATGGATATTTGTTTGAGTTTGTAGCCTAAATGGCTGAACCGATTTCGATGAAATTTGGTATGAACGTAGAGGATAGTCTGGAAGAATACATAGGCAACTTACTTTAGCTTTTTTTTTAAATCCACGTCGACGGAGTCGCGAGTGAATACTAGTTTACAATAGTTGTATCTAAGCTTCCTTGTAATGCATTCTTTAACCAAAATGTATTACAAATGTTTGCGTTAGAGTGGCAAGAACATTTTCGTTACATCACCTTTTTAAGAGCGTGTGCAGACCTGAAACTAAACTATCGCACAACTGTTTTCTCGCACTTTGATTCCTACGATCTTATATGGAGGTGCACAATGCTAGATTTTTAGTTACAACTAAACAGTTGAATGGGCTGCGAAACAATTGACAGTCGCACGACAGTCGTGCCATACTTTAGTCAAAGGTCTGCGCCCGCTCTTAAGCCTAAAGGTATCACAAATATTTTTCATAACAGTCATGAGAACATTTGTAACATCATCTTTTAGCGAGATTTTTGTTGCATTTTATGCCCGGTAGGGGCGCTGCTCAAGTAATAATTTCAACGATCTTGAGAAAACGTTCTTTCGAATATTCTGGATAAGTCCCATTTACTATTTAAAATTAAGGTTTCTCGAGCCAATTTTTAATAAATAAGATTGTGTTTATGTAATTTTTCATCTTTTCGTATTTTGTAAGCTTATATCAGAAAGAAATAAACAAATGGGAATTTTAGTTATAATATATGATTAATAAAATCAAGTGAACTGCGGACTTCGTGATTTAATAACCTAATTTAATTATATTTGCTTATTAGAGCATTTTTAAAAATCACCTCCGTTCTTGATTAGTTTGAACTGACCTATTTATTGAATAAAAATACTGGTCAGAACATTACCCGCCGACCGTTTGTATACCTATCAAAGTTGGTTAGAATTTTTCATTTCAAATATCCCCCCTAGATTTAATACTAAATTTAGGAAAATATGCAAATGATTTTTAACACTGATAATCTAACTAAATTAAATACCCTTGCTAATTTTATTAAAAGCACGCGCACACCTTTGACTAAAATATCTCACTGTTTTGCCTCACTTTAATTCTTATGAGCTGATATGGAGGTGCTCACACTATTCGATTTTTAGTTGTGCAACTAAACAGTTGAATTAGCTGCGAAACAACTGACAATCGCACAACCGTTGTATGACAGTTTAGTCTAAGTTCTACGCCCGCTCTAATTGTAAAAGGTTCTTGCACGCAGCATTTTACAGTACAAAACAGGTACCTCCAAACAAAAAACTCTTTATAAGGACTGTCCTTTTGCAAGCAAACGTACAAAAGTGTCTTCTCCATAGATTGTAATGACCCGAGCTCGCACAATTCACTCTGAGTGAATGTGCGCGATATCAGAGTGTTTGCGCTGTCCACTTCGGTGTGATATGCATAACCTGGGAATGAGATTAAATCAATTTTTACCACAATTAATTATGAACGTCTTCTACTGCACTAAAAGCGGGCGCACGCCTTTGGCCATAGGGTACTTATTAACTTTTCTTTTAATCCGCGCGAACGGAGTCGCAAGCGAAAATTATTATAAATGTGAAAATTTTGATGGATGGATGCTTGTTAGAGTTTGTAACCTAAACGGCTGAACGGATTTCGATGAAATTTGGTATAGATGTAGACGATAGTCTGGAAGAACACATAGGCTACTCATTTTCGTTTTATTTTATTACACGCGGACGGAGTCGCGGGCGAAAGCTAGTAAAATAATAAAATAAAACTCTGTACCTCCTGCCTTAACCATTTCGATCCCCTTTTCCAAAGGCACTAATAACGGCTCTCCTTTCTTTTTATTGAAAACTTTCCTTTGTCTTAGTTCGTCCTCTATTTTCGAGTTCCTCTTGTTGTAATAATAGTCCGGCATCTGCAATTTGAGATCATAATGAAAAATTGCTTCAGTACTTGCAATAACTTTTCCTTTAAAAGCTTTTTACTGTTTTTGTACTGTAAAGCACATATAAAGCAAACTTTAAAAGTTCATGTTTAATTTTTTCTAGAAGTTAAAAGCACTATACATTTAAAGACCAGTTTCGAGTACACATAGCTCTGATAATCGCCTACAATAGAAAATGGTACTCTAAAAGAAGAAGAAAGGACAGATCAGAAGAAGCATTCTTAGCTAAATTCACTGCACCTACGTACCGGTATTTTATTAGACTGGGATACAAATGAAAAGAAAACTAAAATTTGTCTCCAGGACATACACTCATCATTTGAATCGGGAAAATCCATTCACTTCACGCTTGATTGGTATATGTTTCATTATGGGTTAGATCTTCGGCATGATCGTGGTACTGCATTATTAGACTCCTGAATGGTACTATTCAAGATAATTTACCTGCAGCCATGACCGAGTATAACCAATATCTTCGTAGATGAGTTGCAAGGGACTCTCTAGCAGTTCCTTCAAAGAGTTGATAGAAGGCGGTGGACCGCTCAGCAGCCAACTCACCACACTGCTCGTGTAGTAGTTGTAGATCAGGACACATGATATCCCTGTCACTAGGATTATCAGCTTACCTGCTGAAATTAAAGGGTATCTAATTTGTTATTGTGGTAATGCAAATATTTTTATACTTCTCTATTATTAGCATTGACAAGCATTGAAGGGATACAAATTGTACACTAGTGTAACTTCAGTATTTTATATCTTAAGCCCATTGAGAAAGTTCACTAGTCTCTGTGTTCTTAAAAGATGTTATACCTGTTGTAGTTCTTCTCGTTGTTATTTCACTGTTATCCTCGAAAACTATGAAAATAAAATAATAATCAGTAATTATCACATCGTCGTGTAAAATACAATTAATGTCTTTAACGCGCTGAAGAGGTAATGTCCGCTTTAACATCTTAGCACCACAGGGCCGGCACGCCCGGTGTAATACCACGACCACACAGAAGACAGGCGTGAAATGGAACCAATGCCGTGTTACGTCTGATGAGTGTGGTGCCGGAGGCCTAATTTAAGTCCCTTTCTCTTTACCACCCTTTTCTTATGAGAGGATAGGAAGGGGAAGTGGATTTGACGATAGAGGAGATGCATAGGAAGAGGAAATATCCTCTTTATGTGCAACTCCTCCTCCGTCGGATAAGGGTAGGCGACGCATCTGCAATTGCAGATGACTATGGGCAGCGGTCGCTTCGCCATTTTGGCGGATTCAGGTGGCCGCTTGCTCCTCTGTTATGTTATACATCATATGTTATAAAAAAGAAAGACAAAAAGAAAAATCTTTCTTGCTTACATTATAAGAGCGAAAGTTTATATAGAGAGGATCACGCCGAAAGGCTTACATGTATAACATAACATGGAACCACACAGTCCGCTGTTAGAGTTTTTTTTTTAATGTATTATAAATCAACACTTACATTGTTGACAAAAGGACGCAATTACAGAAAAGACTGCAAACTGTACAGATGATGGTCGATTTTCTATCTTTGATGACGTCACTAGCAGCAGCATACATAACACGCCCACAGCTAGAACGCATAGCCAAGCTCCAGACGACAACGGCGTAAGGAACTGATTCTCAAATTTACCAGGACCATATGTCGGAATTCTATAGTAATACCTTGTTCTAAAACAGTAGGAATGTTATTTTTTAATTTTCAAATCGTACACTTATTTATGTTCTGCCCCTTGGTTAAATTAACCCATGATGCCTTGCGCTTGCACGTAGAATCACAGATTCATCCAATAAATTACGATGTAACCATATTAATTTGTTTTCCGCTATTTACAAACTATTAGAGAAAACTTCTATTCTACTTACTCTATCGAAGTCAGGGGTGGATAAAGTATATCTAAATAACCAAGTGTAAAATTTAACATCCGAATTACAGGTGATATATCCGCTTCCCTGAAGTACAATGAGTTTGTGACAGCCTGTACAAAGTTAAAAATAATATAAATGACTAGAAACACTAACGATAAGTACAAATCTTACTTGTCTATACTATTATAATAAAGCGTAAACACACACTTCTTTATTGCCTAAGATGTCAGCAATCACAGCATATTTTCGAATAATTATTTTTTTAATAAAAAGCCCTACACTTACGTCACGCTTTAGGATATATATTTTTACGCCGTTAAACTTAGGGGTAAATATTATGGATAAAAACCCTAATTTGGGAAAGAGACCATAAGTTGTTGTCAACATCAAGGAAGCAAGGTCGCCGTGGTTTGACATTATGTTGTCATTTTGACATTTGCAATTGATAATTTGACAAATGTGAAAAATAAAATGATTTTTTTATAATTTTGAAGCGGGTGAAGTCGCATGGGAAAAACTAGTTACTAATATTATAAATGCGAAAGTTTAGATGGGTGGATGTTTGTTAGAGTTTACCTTATAAACGGCCAAACATTTAGCATAAATGTAGAGCACAGTCGAAAAGAACACATAGCCTGGCTTTTTTTTATTTCACGCTAATAGAGTCGCGGGCGACTAGTACATACATAATACTTACAACAGATGATTTTTGATTATAGTTTCCTATCCATCTGTCTACTACCAAATATTCATATCTGTAACAATAAATAACAGTAAATAACCCTAGCAGTTTGATTTGGTCATCCGACTTAACCAATTATTTACAGTCTCAGTGAGTACGCATATTTGATACATAAATACCTAAGACAAACATTCGAGTACCTAATGTTATGTATTTCTGACACGGCGTGTAGAACCATAGAAGATGTTCTGGTAACCACTGACAAGCCAAGCACTGGCTGTCTGCTGGCCACAACCTCAGGCCCAATGTTTTTTACACCTGGCGACATCTATAGCAAACATTGAAACCTGTATTAATACACAGAAAAAAATGCCGTTGTTATTGTTGTTGTTGGATTGTACTTACAACAATCACCATTCGCAACCTTAGTTTTTCAAAATTCCATCTCTTATAGTATTTGTATTTAGTTACAAAATTAAATTTTACATCTGAAAATGTTTTACAAAATAATCACTTTCCATTGTTTCTAAGTTAAACCAATGATTTTAACAATAATCATACCATTCCGTGGATTCCATTTGCCGATTTTAATTAATTTTAATTTTCCACCTTGAATCTTGCCAAAATTAAACACTTCGTAACAATTTACTTCTAAATCTATAAAGAATTAATTGAAATAAAATTAGGATAACCTAAATAAAAGCGAATTGTAGTAACAAAATAAAAATTATAATAAAAAAATACAGGCGAAGTGAGTACCTCCTTCTTTTGGGAAGTCAGTCAATAACAACTAAACTAGATTATGTTTTAGTGTATAAATGTGCCATGAAAATTATCTTATAAAAAAAATATACCAACCATTTGCCGTTGCTATTTTCATGTCAACATCAACACTCATGTTCAAATTATTAAATAAATCATACATCGATTCATCGAATACGTTGAAATTTCTCTTAATAGTATCTGAAGTATTCTTCATCGTTTCGTTCCAAACGATTGTGCTTTGAATGGTTACGAGCCATTTCCTTGGAGAATTAAAAAACATTTCTTGAGACGCCTGTGAGAAAGTTTTTACACTTCGTTCAATTCGAAGAAAAGTTTCTCGCAAACATGTTACAAAATTGACTAATAACCAGTACAACTTAGTTTTGATATGATTGAAAAGTATTTACATATAATAAAAGATTGCATTTTAAAACTAATAAAGAAATAAGTAACTATAATTCCTCTAATATTGCAAATATCCATGGGCATTGATGAACATCTTCATGTTTCCCATTTTCACTTATTGAAAAAAAAATTATCAAGCCAGAACTGATGTAACTAACAGACTATACTTTCAACAATATTATTCTAGTTGAAATTCAAAATAAGTTGATTAAATCCACTTACATAGAATAAGATGCTTCTTGCGTTTCTACAATTAGCGTCAATTACTATACCAATACTAGAATATTTCTGTTCAACACATCGGTTAACTCTCCCATAGTCCCATATTTTATCTATATCCTCTATCTTAACAGCAATAGAGTGATTATTGGCGGCTTTAGCGATTTTTTGTTGACCTAAATAACAATTTCATTCATCATCAACTTGCCCTTATCTCTTATTGCGGGTCGGCACAGTATGTGCTGCTCTTCCATACATCTCTATCACCCGTCATATTTGAATCCACTCCTTTCCTAAGCATATCCCCTTCACACAATCCAAAAATAACAATTCAATTATTTATACGTTAATTTACACATTATAGACAGCAAAGCTCAACATGGAAGCCATTATCATCACCTTATCACATGAGGTGATGATTATGATGGGCAGATAATGCTGTCTAATCACTACAAGCGAAGTCTTTCAGGCAACTAAGTGGGACAAACGAAGCTACTATATTGGTTAAACTAAGTTATTAACTTTGTGCATCCTATATGTCGATAGTATTTTAAACAGGTTTCTTCTAAAGTTAAAACATATTACACAAAAAAAAATCAAACATAAAAATGGGACCCACCTGCAAGCATTACCTTTCGGATAAAAAAAGAATTATCAAAAGCGGCGGAGTTATGCCGTAACACATAAAAAAAAACATATGGACGATATGAGTACCTCCTTCTTTTGGGAAGTCGGTCAAAAACAAAATGATCCTTTTAAAACTAGTAATGTAACTTACCAAAGTATTTATCGCAAGTAAGAAAGCATAAAAATTTTACATCTCTTTGTGTAAAATATTCGATAGATAATTCGATTATGAAATCATCGAAGCCTAAGCTGGTTCGAAATAAATGTAATAAGTAAAGCAATGAAGAAAATTGTAATATCTTCATTTTAAGCCGTCCTCTTTCAGATATACTAAGCTGCAAATCACATTTTCCAAGCGAAAGCCTTACAAAACATATCAATAGAGTACAGTTCGCAAAAAAAGAGTAAATTGAATTTATTTTAACTCACAGAACATTTTAATACTTGGAAAGTTGATTTTTTTTCGTAATACCTTTATTAACTAGATTAAAACAAATGAAGCGAGGAATTATTTTTTACAGATAATGTCAAAATACTTGCTACCAGTACTTGGTACGATTAAATAAAATTGTCGTATGATTGTTAAACTGTAAACTGTGTTTTGATTCAAATAACTCAATTACAGGTTCACTTTGATCACCGTCATTTTGTTCTTTGATATCTATACTATTATAATAAAGCGTAAATACACACTTCTTTGTTGCCTAAGATGTCAGCAATTACAGCATAGTTATTTCTGAATAATTCTTTTTAAATAAAAAGCCCTACAATTACGTCACGCTTTAGGCCATATATTTTCACGCTATAAAACTTAGTTGGTAATTTTTTTGCATAAAAACCCTAATGTGGGAAAGAGACCATTACTGTTGTCAACATCAAGGAAGCAAGATTGACATAGTAATGTACTTGGTATTTTGACATTTGCAATTGAGAATTCGACAAATGTAAACAATGAAATAAAGTTTCTATAATTTCTGCGAGTGAAGCCGCACGGGAACAGCTAGTATTCGATATAATAGAAGCAGTTCTTAAATTATTAACCAAAGTTATAACTTTTCGATTATGTTATAACCTCCATGGATACTAGAGTTAAAGAGAAAAGATTTATATTTTGTATGTAACGAGTAAACTCAAAAACTACTGGACTGATGTTAAAAATTCTTTTACCGTTAGAAAACCTCATTGTCACTGATTGATATAGATTTCATTAAATTATCATTAGATTTTTTAATTCCCGCGGATGATGTTCAGAGCAAAGCTATATTTTATGCATAAGTTGCTTGTTATTACTAACAAGCTTTCGCCCGCGACTCCATCCACGTGGAGGTTAAAAAACAAAAGCAACTAGGCTATGTGTTCTTCCAAAATATCCTCTACATCTATACCAAATTGCATTGAAATCCGTTCAGCCGTTTAGGCTACAAATTAACTAACAACATCCATCCATCCAAACTTTTTCATTTATAATGTTAGTATGATATGCATAAAACTTATCCAATGAATAACACAGATAAATGTTACAAGAAATTTAAATGAGAATGATTTTACTCTACCAAAAAAGCAGCCATCATCAAATGAGAGGACTTAGCAAGTGTCAATGGAAGCAAACTGCGGACAAAGACGCGAGGGCACTTGAGGCATGATCAAGTGCTCGCCAGCAAGTCGGCTCGTCAACCAGCTTGCGCGCACTCGAAAAGTTTGGCAATCCAAAGCTTTGTAATCAATACAAAAACTTTAAATGTGATAGCTTAGTAAAATCAACAACAAACGGAGTGTACATGACAATACAACCAATAGGGGTACAGATGCCGTGCAGGTTGAAACACAGGAACCCATTAAAGAAGCTATAAAAAAAATAATTTAACAGCTATTTTTTGTAGTGAAACGTACAATTTTATAATACCAAATAGTGACAAAGTACCTAAAAAGATCTTAAATAATCTAATTTTATAGGACTCAGTTGTGCATGTCCGTGGGTATCCGAACATCTGTTAAAGCGTGCGCACACTTGAAACTAAACTATCGCACAACCGTTTATTCTCAATTTAATTCCCTAGAGCTATATGACGACTTTTCACAGTGGTAGTGCCCGCTTTAACATCTCAGCAAGAATGAGCCGGCACGCCCTGTGTAATACCTCGACCACACAGAAGACAGGCGTGAAATGGAAGCAATTCCGTGTTTCGTCTTATGAGTGTGTTGCCAGAGGCCTAATTTAAGTCCCTTTCTCTTTATCACCCTTTTCTTATAAGGAGAGGATGGGAAGGGGAAGTGGATTTGACGGAGGAGGAGATGTATAGAAAGGGGAAATATCCTCTTTAAGTTCGTCTCCTCCTCTGTCGGAAAAGGTAGGCAACGCATCTGCAATTGCGGATGTCTATGGGCAGCGATCGCTTCGCCAGTTTGGCGGATTCAGGTGGCCGCTTGCTCGTTTGAGACCTTATGATATAAAAAAAGACTATAGTTGTGCAACTAAACAGTTGAATTGTCTGCGAAACAATCGACAATCGCACAACAGTACGATAGTTTAGTCGAAGGTGGCCCGCTCCTAACATTCAACGAGCTGACTGTCGAATGGGTAGTTAAGCATCGGAAATTGTGGCGTAGTAGACTAGGATAATAATCTCCATAAGTTGGGATAACGTCGGGTACGTCGGCAGCGAGTCGCAAATAGGATTAACATCAGATTACACAAGTCGAAACCGTAACTAGATACGAACAGTGACGAGATACGACTAACGTAAGCGATGACCGTTTTAACAAACAATTTTAAAGAACGTATTTATACTTTCGCCCGCGACTCCTACCGCGTGAAAACAAAAAAATAAGTAGCCTATGTGTTCTTCTAGATTTTCCTCTACATCTATCTAAATTTCCATCCATTTAAACTTTCGCATTTATAATATTGGTAAGATAAACGCGCGCACACCTTTGACTAAACCATTGCACTACTGTTTAATCTCACTTTGATTCTATGAGTTTATATTGAGTCGCGCCCACAACTTGATTTTCAGTTGTGCAACTAACAGTTGAATTTGCTGGGAAACAAACGACAATCACACAGCAGTTGCGCGATAGTTTAGTCGCACAATTGTTGTGCGATAGTTTAGTCGCACAATTGTTGTGCGATAGTTTAGTCGCACTGCTGTTGTGCGATAGTTTAGTCGCACAGCTGTCCTGCGATAGTTTAGTCGCACAGCTGTCCTGCGATAGTTTAGTCGCACACGGTCGTGCGATAGTTTAGTCAAAGATCTACGCTCGCTATAATAATAAATGTCAATTTGGTTTATAAGAATTTGAATAAAATTATTG